TATTAATGATGAAGCCAGGTCTTTGGTTTCTCCTAGTTCATTATTTCATGTGAAACTACTTCAATTGAGTAAAGTATATGATCATATATAATCTAAAACACCTATACTCATTGAGCCACAATAATATTGTCAAAGGATTTTGAGATATCGAGATATCTGCATAGAAACTATGTGTCAAAGTTCTCATAACAGTACTTTGACGAATATTGTTGTCCTTATCTAAAAGGCACAATGTCCTTTTCAATGTCCACATGTAACATTATTTTCCATGCTATTTTGTGACCACCTGAAGGCTTAGATCAAACTAGGCATTTAGCATCTGTGTGCAAAAAGTTAGAACCTGAATGTGCTTGGCTCAAATATTTACCTTTTTTCCCACCATTTAGTTTAGGTTTTTTATAATTAATATTATATGTGGGAGAACTAGTTCCAATTTGCTTGTATCTGGGAAATAGTAATCTATGTGAGAGATAAGGATTAGCTTGCCTGAAAAAGAAGCTACCGGTCCTAACTGTGATATCGGTAACTTGTGTGACCTGGGGAGGTGAGGGGATGATTTGGGCTGATGATGGAGTGGGAAATGTTTTGGAAAGAAGCAAATAAACTTTTAGGTGGTTGAGAAACCCCAAGAGAATTTATATCATCTGGTTAAAAAGTTTCCTAAAGAAAATGACAGAACTGATTAACAGAAGTATTTTTAATTAGCTGAGCTGAATCCAAAAGAAGGAATACAAGTCCAAATCAGCAGAGGAAGTTTACTGGACTTCCTATTTAAAAAAGATGTTTTATCAAAACTCTGATAAATTTCTGAATGTGGTAATAACAGGACTGAATGCTGAAGCAGTTTATTAAAATGTGAGTCTTAAAAGTAAACAATATCTAGATACTCCTACTTCTAAAGGGTACAGAATGCAGGACATTTTTGCAGGTGGGCAAATTACCCTGCAGACACCAAGTTCAAAGGTGGGTTTTGGCAGGTGGTAGACAGGAAGAGCAGCACAGCCCTAACCCCTTGCCTCGTTGTCTGTGCAGAGCCCCTGGAGAGTAGGGAGATATGGGACATGGAAAGCAGGCCATAAACCAGACAAATTGATGCAAAATTCAGGAGAAAATGTTTTCTATAACTTGATATGCAGTTTCTTTAGTTTGTTTTTTTAATTAAATCATTTTTATTGTTATTCTATAACAGGTGTCCCAATTTTCCCCCCTTCACTCTCTTCCGCCCCACCTGTTTCTTGTGGATAAAGCAGTCCTCATTTGCTGGTATAAAGTCCTACAGTAAACTGAACTTCTGCTACGTTTTGTCTTTGGTGTGTGAACTTAGAGGCTATCTATTCAAGTGATCTGTTCTCATTTACTAGAGCAGATTTTTAAAATTCAGAGCTCATGTGTTCCCTCGCAGAGAGTTTGGCAGAGCATAAACATATGCATTGCTTGGGAGGAAGGCAGACTTTCCAATGAGTACATCTTTCCTACCGCACAGCCAAGGAGCTCTCTGGGGACGAATCAGAATTCTTAGTTGTTGCCAGGTCGCCCTACTGTAACACTCAAGAGACAGTCTCCTCCAAATTGCTCCCCAGATCCCATCTTGGATTTCATCATCTGGCTGGCCAGTAGTTTTGAGATACCACCCAAGGAGGATGACTAGTTAGTGAGTTCAGAATTAGGATTTGATAATATGTTAAACTTCCCTTCCATTGAAGTTATCTTTGCTAGCATAATAAAAGAATGAATTCATATACTACACCATTTCACAGTATATCATAACAAATAATGTACTTGATATGTTACCTGAAGTTCCTTAAGGAAAAAAACAGCAAGGTAACACTTGGGAGAAACACATAAAAGAAAATGTTATCAAGTGCTTTTGGTAAACTGTTTAATGTAAAAAATATATAAAAATCCAATATCTCCACGTGTATATGATAAGTCAGGTTTACAGTTATTTTTTCTTCTTTCAATTAGGAAAAAGGAAATGATGTCATTAAATGTCTGTACACTGTAAGGCTCCAAATTAAAGTGCTTTGCCATGTTGAGTTTGCTGGTAGACGTGGTAATTAACTATGGTGCCAATCTGCCTCTATAAATTATGAATGTCAGAAAAAATGGTACCTGTAAAAAATTATTACAGAATTATACTTATTACTTAGGTCATTGCAGAGGACCCAAATGACTTATAATTGGGTCATAGTCTGAGATTAATAAAGACAGTAGAAGATGGAATAAGATTTGCTCATTGACTTTGAAACATCAATAAAATATATGACTATTTTATTGTACTAAGTCACAAAAAGGAAGAGACTTGAGAATTCTTTTTTTAACACAAATAATGGCATTAATGCCTAAAGCTTTTTGTTTTACTTTCTCTTTTTTTGCTGGCCACCAGGGATTCCACATACATTAGACAATTTTGCTGTGTATTGAGTCACCTCAAAATTTAATGGCGTGAAACAACATTTTTTTATTTCTCACAATTTTGTGTAGTGCCTGGGCAATTCTTATGTTAGTTTATAGATCTGGGGAAAAAATAGATGATAAGCAAACAGATTTAATAAATATGTTTAATAATGAATTAATAGAGCTGCCATCATCTAGATATTGTTTCATTATCTCTAAAAATAAGGTGAAATATGTCTCCATGCATACAAAATAACTTGAGCTTAATTGTATTCCTTTAAATAAAGCTTATACACATAAATGTAAAACACCATCTTTTATTATTAGAGTTAAATAAACTCTATTTGCCATTGACAAATATTTCTGAGACAGTCTTCTTAATAACATAATCTGATTAATGACATTAGTAGATATGCCACGCATAGATTACGAGTTTGATCATTTAAATACCATATTATAATGTAACAGTCCAACCAAGACATTCTTCTATGTATGGATCCTTCTGTCACATGTATTTTTACCAAGTGCTAATTATGAAAAGCTATTATTATTATAGAGATTACAAAATGCTAGGACTAAAAGAAAGCAACTCTAGGAATTTAGAGGTTTACACACTCAAGGTGAGAGAAGATGGTGTTAGAGCAACACAAAATATTGGTCCCATCCTTTAGAGATGATCTCCAACACTCCCATTTTGTAGTGAGGAAACTAAGGCACAAGCATTCTGAGTTACACCCACAATAAACAGTTCTGGATTTAACTCTTTTAAATTTATGTTTTCTATTTTTATGTTTTCTAAATTTATGTTTTTTAAAGAGGAAAATGGAGATGATTCTTTAATTCTTTTAGGGAAATTTGAGAACTATGTATTTTCACTCTTTGAAAACTGCTACAGAAATTTTTAAAAAGAAAAAGTGTTGAGTGGGAAATGGCATTTTAATCTTAGGTTGTGATTTTTAACTATGTAATATTTTAAGTAGCATTTTTATTTTTTGTCTGAAGATTCTGGTATATTTTAGGCTTATAAAGCGAGAATAATTTTCCAATGAAGAAAAATGAGATGATTTTAAAGGTTTCTGGCATAGTGAAAAAATCATATATACATCTTAAAAGCTTTACAAAACTTCATATTTAAATATTATTAAGTATATCAAACATTTAGAGATTTTATTTTATTTTGCTTACCCATTTTATTCTAAATTCAATTTGAAAGGTTGAGGAAAAATGGAAATATCGCCCCCTAGTGGTCAGTTAAAGCATATTAAGAAACTTTTTTTACAGAGGATTACTCACTGAACGTAATTAGCACGAACCTGTCAGTCTATGACATAATGTGCTTTTCTTTTTAAAAAATATTTTATTTACTTATTTTTAGAGAGAGAGGGGAAGGGAGGAGGAAAGAGAGGGAGAGAAACACCAATGTGTTAGAAACATCAATCAGTTGCCTCTCACACACCCTCAACCAGGGACGGGGCCCACAACCCAGGCATGTGCCCTGATTGGGAATCCAACCAGTGACCTTCCAGTTTGCAGGTGCATGCCCAACTCACTGAGCCACACCGGTCAGGGTGACATAATGTGCTTTAATTAATGTTTACTTAGATATTAATTACCTAAGTAAAACTAAAATATAAATAGTATTTGAAATTAATGTGAAATTAATAGGTGGAGATTTCCTCACACTATTGATAAACCTGATGTTACAGTTACAACATTGCCATAAGTGATGGAGAGGTAAGACATTTTTTGGGCAGAGAAATCATAGAGTCTTAGTTATTTCTTTCCTCTCATCTTTATAATCTCAGCAATGACAAGACTGTCTCATTTTGCTCAGCAATGTAGTTCCTTGCCTATCACAGCGATGGGCACAGAGTTGGATCTCAATAAACAGTCCTTGAATGACAGAATGAAAAAAATGATAATACATGTTCATGAGGGCAAAAAGATTAGGATAAAAGTGAAATCAATTAAATATAAATATTACACATCCATAATGTGGCTGGTATGTTCTAATTGCTATTTCAATGTATTTTTATTTACTTTTATAAGAATGAATTTAGATTTAAAAGCATATATGGAATTATGCAAAAAGCAGTCAAGAGATGAAAATGAGTCATCTGTATTTATTAACTCCTTAAGAATAGATAATCAATATTTCATTATTAAAACTCAAATCCACACACATTAAAAAAAATAAAAGCATATGAATATGTTTAGAACAGGGAGTATAGCTGGAAGAGTTACTTCTAGGAAATAGTCTGGTTCTCCACTATGGGGCTTATATTGCCTTAGTGTTTAGTTTTTTGCTTGAATATAAAATCATTCTAGTATTGTCTTAGTCTAATCGTTCTAGACTATTAGACATGGTTTCTAGAAAGCCTTAAGAATTTTTGAGGTAACACACCTATGCCAATACAAAGAAGTTACCCAAGAGCAGTAAAGAACTGCAGGAGAAGCTATTGGGCTCATGCACTTGTTTTTGTTTGTTTTGTTGTTTAATACCAATGGTCTTTTAATGAAATGATGTGGTATTGACCCTCACATAGACTACTGATTTGCATTTCAGTTTAATTGAAAATGCCGTATCTTTCTTCTTTTTATAGAAAGCATCATCATTCACCAGTTGCGTATGAACTCCAGATGAAATGGTAAACCAAGCACATTTTGGGTGTGTGTACTTCCTCTGAATCCCTGTTGAATGGATAGTATTTCTACAGCTCTCCATCATCACTAAGGTCTTCCGTGCTACTGATCACTACTGAAAATAACTTTCTACTTCCAGTGAATTTTTTGAGGCTATAATGTAAAAGCTGAAAACAGCATAGCTGATAACACAAAAATAGGTTGCAAGAGCGACTGAATCTTTGTGTCAAATTTCCTTTTGAAAAGCTTTCAGGTCCATGGGCACATGTTATGTAATTTATTTTTATAATACACTTTGTAATGTGATTTTTCCCTAAAGTATTTCCTTTTTCATAGTCTATGGCACATATATCTGTAGAATATACTGTCAGTTCTTCAAAGCATGGGCATTGGTGCATTAATAACAGTAATCTATAATTACTTTTTTTATCAACTTGTTATTTCTGAAAAAAAGAAAGTACAGCACTCCATATACTTCCTGGAGTAAATTCAAGAGTTAAAACAGAAGCAGGAGCTTCTGGAAGAGTTTTTAGTATTGCCTGTACAATGCTGTAGTTCTGATCTTGGTTCAACTCTAACAAATAACGCTATGGTTCAAAGTTTAACTTTAAATACTTAAAGCCAGTTTCTAAAGTTGCTCTTTCTAGTGTTCTTTGCCAAAACCTTTGAATGAGTTGATTTTAACATGGAATAAATTAATAAAAGGAGATGTATGAGTTTAACATGTGAGGATTATAGGAACACCTTCAACTGACAGTTCGATTGCATTTGTTTGCATTATTTACTTGTATGTGTAGGACTCACAGTAAGGATATCAAGATATTTCTCACAATCTACCTAAGTGAAAGCCTGAAAATAAAAAAAATGACCAAGACAGTATCACTATTTTTTTAAAAAAATGGTAATAGAAATTCAAAGATAGATAACTTTTTATCTTGTAGATTGGATTTGGTCAGATTTTCAGGATCACATACAGGTTGGAGAATATATTCTTTAAAGATTAAAAGCACATGAATTATTCAAATTTCAATGTCAGAGCTGCTGTTGATTTTAGATTTACGTAAAAATGTGCACCTAAATCTGTTTGGAACCCTTAATATGGGTTTTATTTTTTTTAAAGACTTTGTTAATGTGGACAGGGTTTCAATAAAGTCTTTAAAAGATAACTTTAAAGATAAAGATTTGGTATATCAGTTTCTGAAGGCAGAAATCGTCTATTATGTAACTTTACTGAGATTAAGGAAACTATGCTTCTGGGTGTCATAAGGGTAACTATGGTAAAAACCACACAAATAGTCCTGGCTTGTGTGGCTCAGTGGATTGAGAATCAGCCTGCAAACGAAAGGGTTGGTCACTGGTTCGATCTCCAGTCAGGGCACCTGCCTGGATTGTGGGCCAGGTCCCCAGTTGGGGGTATGCGAGAAGCAACCACACATTGATGTTTCTCTCCCTTTCTTTCTCCCTCCCTTCCCCTCTGTCTAAAAATAAATAAATAAAATCTTGAACAAAACAAAACAAAAACACACAAATAACAGTGGCCCAGTTCTCTATTTCACAGGTTGTACCCAGGTTTATATGCCCAAAGATGGTAGTCCACACTGAGTCTCTGGAATAGAACAATTAATGTTAGATTTCCTTCCCTATGTGACTTTGTAAAGTTTGATGGTATACCTTGAGGAATTAGCAAATCATATTTAGTAGGTATTTTAAATTAAATCTATTTTTATGTGAAATTAGTTTTGATTTTTGTAAGTACAAGAAATGCTACAGTAGGCTTGTCCTAGCTTGAATGATTGTGTATGCATCACATAACCTTCAGGGCTTTTGATTACTGATTAAGAAAACTAGAGTGTGTTTGTGTGAAGATTTAAAAAATTGTTGTTTTGGATTTTGTTTTCTGCAAATGTTTCTAAACTGCAATGACATTTTCAATTAAGAAAGGATTTTATTTAGTATTGGTAAATTTTTTTCACTCACAATTAAGCTCCCTTTTGCCAACGTTTATATGTGGGATGGCAAAAATATTCTAATGCATTACATATTAGCATTTGAAGCAAACAACTTTTTCTCAACTTGTGGAAATTTTATTACACTAATTGTGAAAATGCTAGAAAATAAGACTTTAAATACCTCTTGACTTTAAAATATTACAAGTAATTTATGTATGTTTTGGTCTGTGGTTTTATTTCTCTTGAGTTTATAATGAAATCTGTTACTTGCAGTGCAGAGTGAGTATGATGGTATAGTCAGAGTCACCTAGGTGGACACTGAGCATTTTCCTGCTCATGCTATGCATAAGTCTCCTGTTTAAACCCAAATGGAATCAGAGTGACAGATGGCTAAAATTAATTGAAAAATTGGAAAGTTTGTTTTGAAATAAAACAGAATATTAGAAATTAACAACACAGTCATATGCTTATCTAATGAATAAACAAGCAAGTTCATAAATAGTCATATCCTAATATCCACATCCAATTGAAAGAAACTGCCCCCACATGCAAGCCTGGCACCATCCTAGGCTCATATAATTTCTATACCTTTTACTGTAAGTAAATCTCCAATCATCAATATGAATGATAATCAGCTTTGAATGGAATAATTATGTTTTGTGAAGCATAATCATAATTAGTGTTTTCAGTTTAAGGCACAACACATGAATCCATTATTTACCCTTTTCTTTTTGATAAGTTTGTTTTTTGAGGTATCTTCTACAAAGATTTTTTTCAAGTATTTAATAAAATATTAGGATGTAATAAAAATAGCGGATAAATATTCCAGATGTTAGGTGCCTGGAATAGTCACAAAATGTGAAGAATAATTGTATCTTAGTACAATCAAAAGAATTTCATGGTGTGGAGTATCTAGCTTAAGCATTAAGAGAGACACCAACTATGTTGAGATAATTCACAACTCCTAAAAATCAGTGGCAGAGCAAGAGTAAATGCTGTGTCAGACAATGTAGTATGTTGTGTCTTTTCTCTTTATGCTGTGGTTAAAATTTCCTGGAAATAAATAAAAAATAGAGCAAAGGTAGGGTGTGTTTATGAATTTGGTGAGCACCAATTCTAAAAATAACAAAAATGCAGAAGGAAAGTTTAAAAAAACAACAGCTGGCACCTGAGGCATATATCCTCCTCTGGACCGCCAGTGCTGTGCCTCTGCTGAAAATACTAAGTAGAAGGCAAAGAGGAAAAACAATAAAAATTGTAATAAATTCATAAAAATTGGGAAAGTTTCATGGAACTAACATTGCTTAGTGACCACTAATATTTTATTTTCTTAAACTTTCAGCATTTCCTCCATAACTATCCAATGACAACCATGTTTGTTGCATAGGGAAAATGCTGTAGATTCATACATTTGAACAGAAATGTGTATAGATGTCATTACATGATACATTTACTTTTTGGTGTTTTTTTTTGGTTTATGTTATTTGGTTAGCTTTACCTTACCATTCACAGATTTTGTTCACAGTACAGACATGTATTTATATAATCTAGATTTAAAAATAGATTTAATCAAGATTTAAAAATATCAGATGTCAGCTTCTCCAGTATAAGAAGATTACAATGTGATCAGATATTCTTGAAGTCTTGCAGGTTTAATGGATTTTTGGAAGCAAATGAGTACACTGAAAAGTTGTGGAGTTACATTCTACTTTCACAGCATTCTCAATTTTCTCTACTTTAAGTTTTATTAGGTACATGAGAAATTTATTTTTCACTATAGCCAAGTGAATTTATGAATATGTACTTGTCTTTTATATGAATGTGATATCCTGCTTTCAGTTCATCACAGGTTATTGAAATTATTTAACCAATTAAGACATTCTTTATGTTATTTCCAAAGTCACCTTTGTTTATCAAAATCTCACTGGAGTGAGAAAAATAACAATTGTGATATAAAAGCACTGTGCAATATTCTTTTTTGAGTTAGAACATAATATGCATAAAATTAAAATATTTTAAAGTGACTATTCCATCTTATTTTAAATTGTTTGCTTTAAAATAGTTTTCACTTCTGCATTTCCTATTTTGTTAAAAATATGGTGTTTTTCACTGTGAATAAGCAGAAGCGGTACAATAAGCAGATCTGCCAAATACAAGATGCTTTTCCTGTGAGTTGCAGCATAGTTTGATTCTTTAGTAGATGGAAACTGCAAGACACCACAAGACTGAAACTGGTTACAGGATTCCCCTCACCCCTTTATCCTCACCAAAGGCTTTGTCAATAAGCATTCAAATAATGCTCTACCATTTTCTAAAGGTAGATTACTCAGTAGAGCAAACACACCTGAGGTTTTGCCACCAATCCACAGCCCAGCCTCTACAGAAGCAGCTGGGCAATGGTTTCAGCAAAGTGGGATGGGGTGGTAATGGGGTTGTACTCTGACCTGTTTGATTTCTCAGCCTAGTGCCAAAAATGGTGGCCCATAGCCATAGCCAGTCCTCACTTATTTTTGTCTCATTCGGGGCAAAGGAATGGGTTACTATCTTTATTATTTAAAGATATACATATCAAAAACGCAGGCACAGCATATGTCAAAATGAAGCTTTCTAAAGAAAAGTTGCAGCTGTTAGAGATCTTGCCCACAGGGCATCTCTGTGACCTCTCTTCTCAGAGGAGTGCCCTTTCATGCCCATGGTTTAAAGGCACTGGACAAAAGTCACTGTCCATTTATTTCATGACTCTCCAGGAGAATGAGTCTCAAGATTCCCACCAGATTTGCTCAAATGGATTTCCTCCCCTGGAACCCTGGGCTAGAGTCACCTTTAGTGAGCAACAGGCTCACCCCTTGGGCAGAGAGACTGCAGTAACCTCCCTGGGCACCGTGCTTGTTGGCAATAGGCAACAACGGACCATGCTTTGTTTTGACTGTTATTAAAATCTACTTTTGAAATGTGTATTTACTGTATCCAGAAGAACCTACGAAAGATGTCAAACACTGAGGCCTTCTTTTGCCAGGGCCACCCTCAGTGCCTGTGTGGTTCCACAGGTAATGGTTGGAACCTAGTTCCCTGGAGCTCACATAATTTTTATGAAAAGACAACCCATCCTGCTTTAGTTCTCCTGGCATTATTCCAAGCTTTTCTTTCAGAGATAAGCACTTCTAATGAGAAAATCTTTTTCTATTTCTCTTCAGGAGTCCATTTGTCCCATTTTGCCTTATACTGACTGGCCTTGGTATACAAAGCTATCATCCCAGTTTGAGTAAGCTTCTTAAATGTAAGACATATTCCTGATAGTGAATACAAGGTACTGGATAAAAAATGCTGGCAAAAGGCAATGTAATTCCTTCTAGAGAGGGGCCTATCTCCATTCTTCTTCCAGTTATCTTCTTTCCCCCCATCTTTACAGACCTTCCCCATGACCACAATCACATTCTCCTGTTTGGTCTTTCCAGTACACATTTCTTTCTCCACCCTGAAGACAAGGCACATGTTTAGTCAAAATGGCAGGGTGCTTTGTAGGCACCTAATCATTGACTTCTAATCCCAAAGGGTTGCTCCTCTAGGAATAGTACCTCAGCCAGGGTATTTTGTACCAGGTCTTCTTCGCTACAAATTGTGCTGGCTGCTCATTCTTCCCTTGCAGAAACCTCTGTGCCCACTGATTGTTTCAAATGCAGAGAATCTGGAGTAAACAAGGATAGACTCTCAATAATCACTGATCCTAAGAGAAGATATGCTCTCTGCAAAGACAAAGGGCTCTTATCAGACTGCCATATGGTATGCCATTTTAACAAGAAAAGTGTGTTCAGTCATTTTCAATTCACAAAGAGACCAAGCACTGGTTCCTACATGGAGCATTGGTGCACATAGGCAGTAGGACCAAAGGGCTGTATAGGCTATCAAACTGAATATCAAACTCCCACAAGGTGGTGGGTATCAGAGATCTCTGTGTCCAGAACAACTACTAAGATCTTGTTTGAGAAAAAATATATGATCAGCCAGAGTGTACTTTCACAAATCATTAATAAGTGTAGTATAAAGTTCAACTATTTCTCTTGTCCTTTTCTAATCCTATTCTCTCCTGGGTGGAGAACCAAAATATCACTCAGACGTTAGGATCACTTCTATAGTTTAGTTTTTGACATCATAAAGTAGGTGTGGTATCTGCTCACATCTCCCACAATCCCTTGTGTGCACATCTTATGTATCACTTACCTCACTATATTTCAATTGTTTGTTGGCAAGTCATCTCTCCCAGTAAAATGATTCATTGAGTGGGTCAGGTTAGTTCAACAAGATTTATTGAATATCTTTCATGTCCTAAGTACTTTTGCCAGGTGTTGGAGATACAGAAAACAAAAACAGTCTCTGATTTTGAGAAGCTTGTATCTAGTGGAAAGACAGATTTTTCAGTACTATGATAAGTGCAAAGATAGAGGTATGTATAAGTTGCCTTGAGCCTAGAGAGCAGTTCTTAGCTCAGTCTGAGGGGTCAAAGATTCCTCAAATGGACTGTTGACCTGAATCTTAAAGAGTGAGTAGGAATTAGATAATAAGGCAGTTTCAGGAGAGGTGGTGTCTGAAGTGCAGGAACTGTGGGTTGCTCAGTGACCAGGTTTAGGAATTGAAGGCAGTGAGTACAGATGACTCTTCCAAGAAGATTCAGGAACAATAAAATGATGTTGTGGAATAGTTTGTTGAATCCCTACCTTGTCCCGCATGGTGTGTTGGTCAGAGGGAAGTCCTATGAGGTCTTGGTGTTTGTTGTCATAGATATTTAATTCCACTGACTAAAAAAAGTGTTTCATTTTTCAAGCTCAATAAAAGTAGACTTTTACATTTAAGTCCATTTTTTGACAGTCACCCTTCGAGAATATGTTGGAGTTATTTTAAAGAAATACATGAGTAACTTTACAGGTGTTTGAAACCCAAGTGTTTCAAAAAAAACCCCAAAAAATGAAAATGTACCCCTCTCCTACCCTGGACTTTCAACCCTTGGAAAAACAGAAAAATGTAAGTTACAACTATATCTTAAAAAATAGCCCAAACCTATGATTTATAAGAAATTAACATTTTTAAAGATCTACTTTCCTATATCTCTTGATGATTCTCATGGCATAAGGAAAGGTGTCTTACCTCCTCTGACCCCCCAGTTTTAAAAAGAACTGCACTCTATACATGTAATAGAGGTCAGCTGGCTGTCAACCAACAGGTGGAGAAATTATAATTTGAAGTGAAGACCTTATGCATGATTGATGGGACCTGCTGCAAAAGATATACCACGGGACATAATTGCCTGAGAGATTCTATATAGAAGTCATGAAGTCTGAGGTCTCAGTTATATCCTTTTATTTTAAAAAAGTGTGGATTTATGAGAAATGAAATGTTATTTCCTTCCCCAAACAAAGTTTTTAGGCTGTCTACTAAGGAATTTTGGTGTCATTGCTCTTTCTTCTAATGAGACTAACCATTTAAATATCTGGTTTGATTACCATTTCTGATTACTGACTGTGATCACTCAGAAACTTGTCAAATCTTTCATTACACCAGTGACCTCAGGCTAATCAATCTCTCAGGTTAGAACAAAAGGATTTTCTTAAGTGCTTACCTGAAAATATTTAATAAGTATACCATATAAAAATTAGGAAAAGGCCAACTTTAAAAGAAATAATTTTTCAAAATCAGTTTGAAACTCTTATACAATAAATACAAAAATTTCTATACAAATTCTACATCACCCTTTCCCTAAAAATCTTCTCAATTAAGAATGAATATTATTGAGTTCCTCAACATTCCCTAAAGTAAGCTTTATACCATGATCAACTAAATAGAAACAACAACAAACAACCAGTTCAAACTATTTCCAGGCCTCAAGAATTTTCTCTAATGTTCATGCTGGTAAAAACTATGGTACATTTCTCAGCTCTTTAACTTTCCTGAATATTTTAAAGCTAAACATGTGAATAAAACGATTTAAATATTGTTAGAAGCTAGAGAACTAAAGCAGCACAAAATACTCAAAGGAGCCTAATAAGCAAATGTGTGTGGCATTTTGGATAAACAAGGAAATGATCAGTTTCAGTTTCCTCTTCTTAATTCCTTAAGTAATTTAGTGTTTTTTTTCCTTCAGTGTTTCTGGTTACCCAGTTCAGTGTCTTAAACAAGCAATTTAATGAAAAAACAAAACTTATTATAAAACTTTCCCTCCAAAAGCTATTTATGGACATCTTTTCAGATCATTGGGTTTGCATCTATTCTATTTTGGATTTATTTTCATATTTAGGCTCGGGCATTTGTTGCACACTATGTGCACCTGGTACTCAGCATTAATCAGTCATTTAGCCACATACTTTTAAAACTAGGAATCAGCAAATGAACAATCATTTAAGCAATATAAATGTTTTCTAATGTGTCATCAACACACACACACACACACACAAACACGCACATATACCATCCACTCCTAGCAGCCACAGTTAAAAAACGCATATACGTACTGGTAAACCACTGTCAGGACAACCACTCTCTTTTGCTGCCCCAGAAATACTAAACAACATTTTTTTTTAAATTCCTACATCATCAGATTAAATGAAAAACTACCTAGTAAAGACTATCATAAAACAATGTATGACCAATGAAATTCTGAGTCTCTTGAGCTAATAACGTGGAGGTGAAAACAATGTCAGCTGGGGAAAGCAGCATGTTGTGATGGCAAAGTACAGTAGAGGGAAAGGAACTGGAAGGATGTCATCAAGAGATCTTGAAAAGCCATTTCATCCATTTGGCCCTCACCTGAACTATAAGTTTTAGACAAGAATCTCAAAAAGCTTCTTTTTAGATTCTTGTTTGAAAAGTCTATGTTTCAGTCAAAATGGAATTTCTAATAAAAAAGAGACAAGGAGTAAATCTTCCCTATGGACAAACAAAACTAAAGAAAAAGGAAGCAGATAAATATATGGAGATCACTCAGACCACTAAAACAAACGAAAAACTGAAGGCAAAATACTGATCCTATTTAGACAAAAGGCTGGAATAGCAAATCACATAAATTGTCACAAATAGTGGGTATGATGATATAGGCAGAAAGAGGGAGGAAAAGACTTGCCTTATGCTTTGTGCATTATGTCCAATATTGTTGTATATATTTTCACTAATCAACAGAATTAGCGAAATGAAAGAAGCCCATGCCTTCTTCATTAGCTGTGACAGATGAATATTTTCCATTTCAGCCTGAGGTTGAAAGTAAACTCAGAGAGATTAAAACAGTGTATATAATCCTACCTATGTTGCCAGTGCTGAGAATTTGAAAAATAATGGATGTTGTACAAGAGCAAAACTAGGCAAGTTTGTTATTTTCTAGATAAATATTTTTTTGATTGGCTCACATCTTGAGACTTGCAGTCATTTTGCAAGTACATTTAATTGTAAGGTACATTTAATTGAAGTACACTTAATTTTGAGGCCCAAGCACTCCTTTTGTTTCCCTTTCCTTGACTTACCTTCCCAAAGGTATGACTGCAGACAAAGCCTTAAAGAAAATAAAGTCTGGGTATCTGTTTACAGATGATGAGGCTTACTGTCTGTCCTGGATTTCAAAGATGCCAATATAATGTGGATTGTATATAATTTTAAAATGAATTTTACAAATATTTGCTTATTGCAGAAATTTTGGAAAATACAGAAAAATTACAAAGATGTAGAGAAAAAACATCCCCCATTAGGTTAACAGAGTTTACCACTATTTACCTTTTGGTTGGGTTTTACCCTCTATACCTTTATTACCTTGGTATCAAGATTTAGTGACTTTATATACCATGAATATTTCCATCAGTAATTAAATACTTGGCAGTTTCAAAGTGCCTGCATAGGATCTCATTTTGTAGTAATGTTATAATTTACTGAGGTGTTTCTTTTGACAAAATAACTGTTACTTATAAGGACAAAATAATTATATTATACTCATATTTACTTACAGCAACATTCAACATCACAACGGTGAAATGATCTTAATTAATATGTACAGGGTGGGGCAAAAGTAGGTTTACAGTTGTTCATAGAAAATAATACAATTAATAAAAATAATACATGAATAAACTTTTGCATGCTCCCAACTGTATAGCTACATTTGCCTCACCATGTACTCAAGAAAAGTATGTGAGCCTAGGATTGTACCCAGCCAAGCTGTCCTTCAAGTTTAGACCATACACAAAGTTTTGAACATTATTGGTGTTTTTTATCAACTGTAAAATAAGGAGCTACTACTTATTACAACAGACTTCTTCAATCTGCGCAAGAGAGAGACGTGATCACTCAGTGATCACTGAAAACATGGTAAAAACAAGAACATTAATGGAAGATAAATAGTAATAGATGAAGTAAGAAGAGGCAAAACAACAGGGTTAAGCAAATCAGATGATTTATTCTCGACTTCAGTACAAATGGGTCGCCGCCCATCACGTTTCTCACTTAACGTTTGTATTTGCACCTTGACATTCATTTTAGAGAAACTCGCAGTTTTATAACCTAAGCAAATACTCCAATCGCGTTCTCTTTTAAATGCTCCGATCCCCTTCAGAGAGGGCTTTTGATAAAACAAAAACCCATCCAGGAACGAAGCCACTAGACAGCTCCAGGGCTGACTACGGTGGTCTGGGCCGGGTGGCTCTGACCCGTTACCTAGGACTGCCGTCGCCAAGATAACCAGAGCTGCAGATACGTAGGTGCGAAGACAACTTTGTGAGAAAGCAAGGAAGAGTACGTCAAAGGCTAACGCACCCGGACCTTCTCGCCGCGACGCCCGGCCTGCGCATGCGCTATGGTAGCTCCACGCTCTAGGGGTTAAGGCCCTCACTTTTTCGTCACAGGGAAGATGAGCAGCGTACGTCCGCCCTTTCCCACCTCCTTTTATCCTCTACTTCCTCCTCCCCTAGTCCCTCAGTCTCCTCCCTCCTTCCTCTCCCCCTCCGGGTCTGGAGTCCCTAGCCGACTCCGGCTTCCGGTCAATGGCCGCCTGCGGAAAGGTGTCCCGCCTCTTCCGCTTGTATTTAGGAGGTCGCGGCGGCAGCCGCGCCTGCGCGTCTACTGCCAGAGTCAGCAGGCGGGTCCCTTGGGCAGTCCACCTGAGTGTCGCGGAGCCGATTCCGGGGGGTCCATGGCGATGAACTACAACGCGAAGGATGAAGTGGATGGTGGGCCCCCGTGTGCTCCTGGGGGCACCGCTAAGAACAGGAGACCGGATAATACGGCCTTCAAACAGCAACGGCTGCCGGCTTGGCAGCCCATACTTACGGCGGGCACGGTACTACCTACCTTCTTCATCATCGGCCTCATCTTCATCCCCATTGGCATCGGCATCTTCGTCACTTCCAACAATATCCGCGAGATCGAGGTGAGGGGGGCGAGCGGCGGTAGGAATTGGCCCTGCTTTGGGGAGCGGGATCCTCCCGGCCTGCTCCACTCAGCCCTCAGCTAACTGGAGGTTGACCCACGGTCCTCACCTCCCCCACACCTCTGTCTTGCTCAGTTTCTTCTTTCTTTCTGCAGGTTTTCTGAATTTGCGATTTACAGAGTTAGAGGCGGAATGGATGTTTAACGCAGAGGGTGGGTCAGATGAACGCCCTTTTAATGGAGAGTTTGTGTGGCTCCGTGGTGTTTTGTTTTGTCTTTCCTCCAACGAAGGTTAGGAGAGGGACAAAGAAGTGGGAAAAAATGGTTATATCTAGATATTACTCCAGGAGATTTGACGTGGTCAGATTGTTATTACTTGTGTGGGAATTATCCTAAGAGATTAACACCTTGGCCATTATAGGGTAAAGGACTCAGAGCCATGGAGGTATTGGTGATTTATATCAGTAAGAGGTTGTCATGTGTTATCAGATCACATATTAGGGCAAAGGACCGAAGTGTGCACAGTACCTTTTATTTGGAGCTAATTGATGCTTGTAGTTGTAGGGCATGATACAGGTAAAAGGTAACCTGAAACTTCAATTCCGGTTTTGCTTTTAGGCTGTGTTTATTAATAACAATGCCCTGCATTCACCCTAGTTTTTCTTTTCCCCTCGATTTTAAACTTTAAATAAAGTTAGTAATCAGAATAAACCATACACTGTTTACTAAACATTTTACTGATATAATACATTTTGGAGAAACTTGGGGAAGCATCTTGAATTGTCAAAGCAGCAGTCAGTATATTCATCCATCTGCAGTAGTGAAGATAGTTTGATAATAGAATGTAAATATTTGGTATAGATGTCCATTATTAAACATCTGCTAATCTCTTTCCTCGAATATCTGCGGGTATTTTTATCTGTTTAAAGGGCAGTAACTGGTGCCAGGTTCTCCTGGTTTCCTTGGTTGTATCAGGTTATTATAATTTTTTTCTCCTCTAATTTTATTCATGTGATTTAATGAGGCTCTCAGGGTAATTTTAACTGCAGGAATATGCATAAGATCCCTGTTTTATAGTTTAATTTACAGTGCTACCTCTAAAAACAAAATTATTATGTCTTTAATTGTCCAGTGTTCACTTCTATGTTAATAACAGTAATAAAAATAGAATCTATAGGATAGTTTTTAAATCTACTAAAATTCGTTTTCATTTTACTAACTAGAGAAAGTGTCAGGTTTTTTTTAAGCATGTATTTTTATTTGTTTTATTGTTTCTATCTCCCTAATAGCCCTTCAAATGTAGTATGTGTTCTCCTAGCTACACTAGGATCAGACATGTTAGTAAAGTGGTATATTTATTGAAAGGACCCATGGGCTCTGGGCTGGGGCAGCCAGAGCTGGGTTTAAATTCAGCTCACTTTCTTGGAATACTTAATCTCTCTGATCCTCAAGTTTCCTTATCTGTAAAATACATAAAAATGCCTATTTAAAATGAGAATTAGAAAAAGTGTAGATAAGTTTCTTGGAATTAAGTTTGTATAATATACAGCTACTGTTACCATGATGATCCCGAATTAGGAGATGACAAATGGAGCCAGAGAGGCTGGCATTCACTAGTAAGCTAGAAGAATATTGTAAAGTTGAGGCAGAAACCCAACCCAGATGTCTTTATTCCCAACCTTAAGCTTTTACGCTACATGAGGATTCTTACTGCAGTGTTAGTAGTTAAGAAAATTAATGTTAGAAATTTGATCATTTTATTTAAACTTCTTAAGATATTAAGATGAGTAGCAATAATTTGCAATTTTTGAAAAAGATTTTATTTTTTATTTTTAAAAAGAGGGGAAGGGAGAGAGAAAGAGAGGGAGAGAAACATCAATGTGTGGTTGCCTTTTATACCCTCTGCCCCATCGGAGACTTGGCCTGCAACCCAGGCATGTGCCCTGACTGGGAATCAAACCAGTGACCCTGGTTCACAGGCTGGCACTCAGTTCACTGAGCCACACCAGCCAGAGCAATAATTTGCAATTTTGTATGAGGATATTTACTATCAAAACTCAACTTATGTTAATATTTACAACTATGAAAATAAATATTTACTTTCTTTAAAACTTTGGGTTTTGAAATAAAATAAGGCTCTTCACCTTCACACTAAGTAGTTGGTGAAATGGAAATTTCTTAAATAGTTCTCATGTATATGCTTCTGATTTCAAACACCCTGAAGAGCCTGCTGCAGTCTAGTTTAAAGGGCACTGAAGTTAAAAGTCAGGGCCTTAAAGAGTTGAAGTGTAACTCTCTTAGTCATTATAGGCATATTTTTGCGTCTCCATTGTTTTACTTGAAGAACCAAAAGATTCAGACTAGATGATTTCTAAGATGATATTTAACTTTTAAAATTGTATGACTTCCAACTTGAATGTGATTTTTTAAAAATGCTACGTATCCAAATTGTATCACCTTTGGAACTAGAGGAAATGAAAAGTAGGACTGATTAGGAAATTTATAATCTACACTAACATAAGTTGTGCCAATAGAATAATTTTTTTTCAATTGGCTGTATATATGTAGAGAATTGGTTCTGAATTGAGCCTGGAGTTTATAGTGGGACAAATCTAGGGAGCTTTCGCAAACACGTGCTTGCTTCTGCCTATTCTCTGCCCTTTGTGAGGCACTATGGTAGTTTAGTTTAATATAATGTTGAGGGTCATTTAAAGTAAATGGATAACCAGAAGTTCTTGCTAACATGTTCTTTCATACTATAGTTTGCTCATACCTCTTAGTTTATTTTCTCATTTTTGAAAAAAAATTTTTTTATTCTCACCCAAGGACATGCTCATTGGCTTTAGAGAGAAAGGAAGGGAGAGCAAGAGTGAGAGACAAAGCCAGACCGAGAGAAATGTGGATGTGAGAAATATCTGATAGGCTGCCTCCTGTCCCCACCCACTTAGGGACTGAACTGCAGCCTAGGTACATGCCCTGACTGGGGATCAAACCCCAAACCTTTTGTTGTATGGGAGGACGCTCCACCCAGCCAGGGCCAGTGAGGTATTCTTAAGTTTTGCAATAACAGTTATAGTTTAATGATTAGAATCGAATGAAGATATTTTCAGAGTAATTAAAAACTAAACATTTACTTCAAATTAATATTGCCAAAAAAGTTCAGAATATATTTTTATTTAATTTTAGTGGATTAGCATCCCCATGTTTGAGAAACCCCAAGTCTCATTTTCCTCACTTTATATTTAATCCTGATTATTTTGTTTCCCATTTTTTTATTGTATTTTTTTTCCATTACCATTTATTGCTCTTATGTCCTTTTCCACCTCCACCCAACTCCCCTCCCCCTACAAGCACCACACTGTTGTCCACGTCCATGAATCCTTTTTCTTTCTCTTGGTTTTGATAAAAATGTAGTTTTATCTATTGTTTTTACTCTTGTGCAGCTTGGTTTCTTAGATTCTAAGATTTTTAAGGGGATTTAATTTCTCTTCTTCACTTAGTATTCTTTGTCTATACTTAGCTTATAGCTAAGATTCAAGGAAGCATAAGTTGCATTGTAGATTGTTAAAGATTAAGCACTTTATGTTTAGAAGTTTAAAGATTTTAGTGTTCAAATGAATTACAGTTGCTTAGCAGCTCACTCTGGGAAATTAAGAGGTTTGTGATGTTAGTGTTTTGTTACTCTGATAACTGTAGTACTTAGAGGAAGGCATGACAAAGTAAATATGGCCATTCAGACCAGTCTGTAAGGCCCAGGAACTGAGAATGGTTTTACAGATGAACACTTACCATTGATTTGATGACAGGGAACATTAAGTTTGAATGCCCGTTATGCATAATGTATCCCCTCCCCCCCAAAAATAGTTCCATTCTTATTAGACCTGTGTTAGCAGAAAATTGTACACAATTTTTATTATATTTTGAATTTCATCAATAAAAATCGGTGCCGATTTATTTTCTCTCTTGTTTATATAACAGCCTACATTTGAAGAGGGACCCCCCAAAAAGAGAATTTATTTATATAAAATTGTGTGCTTATTTTTATATATTTAAACTTGTCACTTTCAAAATATTCTCCATTGATGCAATACTCCTATCAAGACTTTTTTCCCACTGCTTAAACAGTTTTTGAATTTGTGGGTTTTGATGCCTTTTAGTGCTTCTGCAGTTTATTGTTTCCCCTCTTCCACATTGGTAAAACATTTCCCTTTGAAGACATTTTTCATGGGAGAAACAAAAAAAAACATCACTGGGCAAGGGGAGATTGGGTGTGAATAGGGGTGGGTGGGGCACTGGGGTTATGCCATTTTTGGTCAAAAACTGCTGAACACTTAGCGTGGTGTGGGCACGTGTGCTCATAAATCACCTGTCATGAAATGGGCAAACTCACTGAAAGAGTCTTCAAAAATATTCACTGAAGCTGAATGCAGCCTCTTGGAAACAAAGCCAGCTGGTGCACTGATGCAGATGGGTTCCCAGAACACTCACCTAGTGGGGGAAGCCTGCACTACAAGAGGCCCGCTGTCCAGAAAATAATTCCGTTTTTTTGGGGGGACATCACCCCTTGTAATGTCCTTGGCCTTGCCTCTTGGTTTGTAAAGCCTAAAATACTTTCTGACCCTTTACAAAAAAGAATTTCCTGCCCTTGACGTCAAATTTTAAGAAACATGCTGGCAAATTTAGCATTTATTACAAAAACAGCAGTATTTAATTTATATTCTAATACTCAGTAACCTTTCAGTTAGGTATAACGATCTCTGACAATTGCTTATGTCCTACCTTCTTTGTACACATTTAATAGATACAAAATACCTTAGCTGAATTTACCATTAATCTTGGCTCAGGCAACATCATTCTTCCTTTCTTTGTCACAGTCAGTTAAAGTTCAGGCAACCTAGAGAAAATTGCTTTTGAAAGTTTTATTTAGTTAGCTTTTATCTTCCTTAGAGCCTCTAGAAAGGACTACTGATAAATCCTTTTTTTCTTAATCCTCATCCGAGG